GGAACCGGCTCAATTGGCCAAGGAATTTGCCAAAGCAGTCACTGTACTCACAGCCTATTGCTTGACCACGGTCAACGTCCAAATCACGTGTACCCGTACGGGCAAGTCCGGGTAAGTGTACACTTGTGAAACTCAGTGTTTATTCCGCCTGTTTTACGCCTTGGTTCAGATGATGACAATTTGTGGTCATCTTGCTGGTCCTACTGTTCGTTAGTAACAATACAAAACTGCCCACCGTCCTCATTGCTCATTGTTACCCATGATGATATTTTCTATTTTAACTCAGTGGTGATCAAGCGGTATACGTCTAACCTCAACGATGCCACCGCAGCTGCATTTCCATATATATACCGAAAGCCTCAGTATGGTCGGGGTAAGTGTCTCGGGTTGTGACTGGTTACTCTGCCCTTACACCTCGCGAAATGCTGCTCAATGATCAAGCGTCTCAAATAGTCTCTGCTGAGGAAGTCCTACTCGCTGTCTTCCCTTGGCGGAGGTGTTTTCCTATCAAAGTGTGAGGACCAAAAGCCGATATCCGGGGCTATAACCAGGTTGGTGAACCATTGGCAGTTCACCTAAGGGAGTTTGCTAAAAACCCTGATTCCACACCAGCCAAAGAGAAGGCCTATAAACTACACGTACACCTTCCTGGTCGTGGCAGTGGTCACCGGCTCAATCGGGTATCAAAGTGTATTGGGTACCTTGGACGTCTGACCCCGCCCAAATTGCATATGGTCCAATTCATTGGACACCAGCCCCCAGTGAACTGCCGGCTCTGAGCTACGTCCTGTTGTTCTCTTGCAGGTCTGGCTTCCTAGCCAAAGACTTCGTGTGGGGACCCCGAGGTTAACCCTCCTCCTCGGTCGGGACAACCGGGAAGTAACATGCCCACACAATCTCTGAACACATTCTACAGATTTCTTTTTGTTCATATGTTGTGGCACATTTACTAGTTCTCCGCAATTGGTTACGTGTTGAAATAAATATCAATAGCGAAACGCAAGTGAAAATGATTTATTATTGTAAGTATGATCCATAGAAGTCATCTACGTCAGTGCCTAATCACCCTCTGATAATCCAATAAAATTGATACATCTGATGCACTCATACATTTTTTGATGGGAAGCAACATGTCAACAAATTTTGATTCGTGGGTCTCATCACTCCAAATGTGATCTAGTTGACCCAATGGTGCCTTATGTCCCTCCGGGGTCGATGCACACACACTACTGGTGAGTTTTAACGAGAACGAAACTCGAGTCTCTAGTTTGTGCCCAGTGTGTGGTTAACTAAATGAACTAGGGATTGTACGGGAACATGAAGTCTGAAAGGTCGTCATTTGGAATCACGGTACGGTACTCATCCGGATCAATCATTTTAAGGAGAGAAAGTGGATTGTTCTCACGTGGGTAATGACCAAGCCTGACATATATCTCCGATGATACGTGAATTCACCAAACTCGTTCAACACCCTGACCTTCAGCACACTTGTTCCTCCTCCTTAGTATTTGGACTCCGTCACATCCCGCTAATATTCACTGAGAACGATCAGCGAATACTCTGATTCACAGTGGTTCGCGTGCCCAGTTTAAACCTATTTACCGACCGTTTCTACACTCATCAAAGAAATACCAATGCATATCAGAAGCAACAGAAGTGTTAAAAGGTTGGATGATCTATGGGATTCGTTCTCATCGGTTATCAGCAACATACTCCAAACTTCGGACTGGTTAATACTTCCTTTAATTTGAGCGTATAACAAACTATAGCTTGATGTGCTTCGGCTTTCGCTTCAATTCAGTTTGTACAACCATTAACCGTGAACTTTCGTGCAGCGGTTTTGATTTCTGTCTTTTTCTGCTGATTTGGATGAAAATGTGTAAGGGAAAGACAGTAAATGTGGGGGTAGAGTTGAATAGCAGATCGAGATCACGGGGTTCCTACCTAGAAAGCCTAATCCAACCTATATTACTGAGTCTCCTGGTCAGGGTTTCCATATCCTCGTGCTAGGTTTTATTTTGACCACCCTTTGCTTTGTTCATCCACTACCTGTCGGCTAACATTACGCTCCGTGATAACGTCTTTGGTGATATGTGTAACACTCGCTCCAACTAACCCGATCCATGGAGTTTGACCTCTTGCTCCAGTGGGCGACTGCGGTCACCTGAAACTGCACCTAACCTCAGCATTGCTCGCCCGGTTGCTCCACCAGATGCGTGCAATGCGGAGTAGACAGCGCTGTTCAAACACCGGCAGTCTATCTTTGTCCTATTTTCGTAATCACCAGGTCTCCGCTTTTTAGAGCAGGACTGATCTGACTGCCGCATCACATTCACGGACCGCCGGATATCGCGCTCTCGTCGGCTATCGTGATAATCAATTAGAAAGATTATGTTCCCCCTCGTTCTTGTGAGAAAATGAGGCAGTCAGCATCGGACCATATTTCTGTCAATGACACATGTCCATTCTGTAAATAAAGTCTTTGTGAATAATAACTTTTGAATCTGTTTGAGGTGATAGTCTTCTCCGCGGTCCAGTTGATCACTTTTCTCCGGCTCTCTATTCCTTCACAGGTTGTCATGTTATGAGAAAAACCAATGACCTCATTGTATATTCTCGTGGTATTCATCGTCTGTAAATGATTTTCGTGGATAGTTAGATTTACTTGGATTCGGCTAGGTCAACGCTACAATCAAAGTACTGTTATTCCACAGACTGACTTTGCTCGTTGACCCCGTAATGATAGCCTGTGTTCACACGTTGTCAACAGTTGTTTGTACTAGTGTAACAACTCATCTAATTAGTGTCTGTTGTATATATTTGGTTATCCGATATGCACTGAAACAACAATTGCATAAATTCGTTTCCTTTCTAGAGAGAAAGTATTGGTTGTTTCCAATGGAGCGTCCGCTTCACTCAGAGACAATATTGCAGCAGTATTTGGGCAAAATCAAGTAAGTCCAGAACTGAATCGATTTATTATCGGTCATTTATTCGCTTTTTTGTGCATGTACTTCAGCTAACAAGGATGGAATTTCGGTTGCTATACCCGTTCACCTTTTGCCATCGTCCACTTTATAAGCTTATGATTCCTGTCTGGAATTGCTTTATCTTTAATTTGGATATCCGTCCTCTCTGAGAAAACCCTTCCCCCCCCTCAGTTCGGCCTGAAGAACCGGGTAGAATCACCCACAATTTTAAATCATACCTACACATTGATGCATGCCTTCTGTTGCCAAACTCATTCACTCACCAAACTCGCTTTTCTCAAACAATCCATAGAACGCTACCGTCTACCGTCCATACAAATCGCTATTCTTTCATTTTTTCTTCTGTCCCGAGTGGTTCCACTAATGTCAATTCATCTTGTCACTTGCAACTTTCTTCAGCATGTTTTATCACACGGAGCCTACTGTTCTACCTCTTCATCACTCCACCTATAGTTTACAGTGGAGTGTGACTGTCGTGTTAACCGGAAACCGATAGATCGAAACTCGAAACTGCAAGAATTGATGTGCGTATTTCAAACAGATTGACTTTTGCTAGTCTGCGACATCTGTGGCACCGACGCGACGTTACTCTTTCACTGAAAGTTTGGGTGTGCAGCTCAGCAGTACGTGGTTTTTCACTCCACGACTGCAAAACATTACCTCCGAACGGTCTATGTCCGATCGCAATGTTTGAACAATCGTTGTATGGAACGGCGTCGTACACGTGTACTGAGAACATGACGAGTAACGAATGATAAGGTCAGCCGACGTGTTTGGAATAGATAGTATGCCTTTAAAACGGATCATTTCAATGCATTCTGTGATGTTGCTGGCGCACGTTCTGTGCATGCCGGTACCATGTCTGGGCTATCAAATCTTGTTTGCAGAGACTAAAACTCAAGGATTGTTTCCTGGGGGCACCACGAGGCATGGCATTGCATTGCAGTCAGTGGTGTGAATGTTACCGTTCGTTTGCGATCCCCAAAACCACGAAAGACGAGAAAGTTCAGAACTGCGTACAGCTCACATAAGAATAATATTTTGTCACACTACACGGGAAACCGATTGTTTACTGTCTTGTTCTTTTGCTTTGTCGCCGAATGTATATGTAAGATAGAAATTGTTTTCACGAAACATCAGTTGTTGGTAAGATCAACAACAGCTGTAGTGGAGGCCTTCGTCGAACTGAGTTTTCCGTTTCGGCTTGATGGAGCTGTTTCACCAAATGGTTTCAGCTCATGGAACTGTGAATGAACGCTAGCAGAGAATACTTCGAGAACATAAAATACTTACTTTTTTGTAACAAATAAAACTTTTTGTGCTTCTGGAAACTTTTTGCGTAACCCTCGTATACATCGCTGGTTTGCAGACAAGCATGGTGCCAGCGCCACAACCGTACTAACGATAACAGGGGATGGGGAGTTGGGATATATAGCAGAGTGAAATTGAGGTTAAACAGTTACGATGAATAACAACAGATAACCTAAATTACTTCTATTAGAAGTTATTGCACGCTAAAACTACACCCTATCGCCTTTTTCTTATCAACTATCTTGCCAACTATATTTATCAGCCATACTCCATGTCCTGAATACCCTCGGGTTAAGCAGAGCTGAATGCTACCAGGCCTGTCCCCGGGTTGTGGATAGGAGGATACCCTCACCGAGGAAGGTTAGCTGTGAATAAGTTGTAGCATACCGCAACAAATAAGTAGTCACGAACAAACAGCGGTGGCACTACCAGGGTGTGGTGGGTTTCTGGCTGGTCACCTGGTTCCTGTTTAAAAGCCCAAAGACGGTGTCGTGACAAAGACCGATGTGACTGGCCCTTTAAAACTAAATTCATTGACCCCCTCACTTCCGAGTAATGAGGGTTTACTTCCTGTTGCCTTGCAGTTCGCACTTAGTTGTACAAAGGCCAGAGGTGCGCCCTCAAAATAAAAAAAACGCCGAGTGACGCTCGGGACGTCTCTCGTACCACACTCCGAAGGAACTTCCAGACCATAAGCATGGAGCCGGTTTATCCTTTCCAGGGAGCCAGCCGCAGTTAAGTAGTAAAGTATACCTGCTTCGCTGAAACACTGATAAACCAAACATCTTTTATTGGTTATTAGTATTGTCTCACTCTGCAGGTATTTTCCCATCATTGATATTTAGTATATGAAAACTGTTAAGCCCCTCGAACACTGATACACTTCTCAGTGAGTGCAATGCTTAAAATCCCACTTTAATGAGAATAAAGTTATTCCTAATCCACCTTGAACTCCTTCCTCCACTACTCTCGCATTCCTAGCTTCAGGTCATTCGTTTTGTCCGAGGAACCCCCCCCGCCCCCGCCTACCCTCCATCAACGTGATCTGCTGTTGCGAAAGCTCTGACTGAAATGGAAATATTGGTTCACACAAAAGTGCCATTCTAGACGTGTTTGAAAATTTCACTGCACACGCGGGAGACAAATGCGTCACTTTTTCATACGATATTCTTCTTCGGTTCCGGTTTTAATTTCCCAGTCTATCAAATTACTGATCAGTCGAAATGTGACAACGCACATGTTGTTTCGTTTTCAAACTGCTCTCATTTTTCTGCTTGTTTGCAACGGTCTTGACTATGTGACTGTCTTTATTTTCAGCTAAACAGCTTGATCCCACTAACCGAAGTGATCACAATTCCGAATGATTTGCTCGAGGAGTTCAACATCAAGTCTTCCGACGACCTCGAACATATTCAGTGAGTAGAATGTGTTAAACCAACCATTTATTTCTTTTGAACCCCTCTTAGGGGTGAGTACTATTGTGAGGTGGTTTGTTTGTGTTTGACATCGACAGAATTGGCTGACATTGTTAATCTGAACACAATTTGAATAATCACCGGTTCTGATATTATCATGCACGGATGTTATCATTGCTATACCCACTTTTTCATTGCAGACTTCGTGGTTTCATCAGCAAACCGCCGGGAACGCAGGCCACATCGGATTCCTGTTCTCCCAGTCAACGAAATAGTCCAAAAGTTGGTAGTTCGACCACCGCTAGCCATGGCCGTTCCAGCTCCGATCGTCAGTTCGTCTATGTGAACAATCGTCCGTGTGATTTGCCTAAGATAACTCGTCTGGTTACTGATCTGTGGCGTCGATGTTCTCGGGAAGCACTTAGCCTCACCTCATCCGGAATGCGAATGCCAATCCAGAGCGCTTGCTCTCAGTATCCGGTTTTTGTACTTCGCTTTGAAGTTCCTTCAGGTCAGTTTCACATTCTGTATATTGACTTTTTCAGACACCAAATGTATTCAGTTCAGAGACCTCGCTCTGTCAACCCACAACTTGGACGTTGAAGCCAATGAATGCTTAGCTTCATTTAATTTAGAGGTTAAGTAAAACTTGACATCACCGTTACCCAGAGACTTGACCATTAAGAAAACAGTATAAAGATAGACTGTCGTTGTTTGAACACCACTGTCTACGCAGTATTGCACGAATCTGGTGGTGCAACCGTACAAGCAGTGCAGAGGTTTAGGTAATTGTGGTCGTCCACTGGTGCAATTTAGTCGACCACCATAGTTAACATTGATTGGGGCATGTGTTACGCATGTCACCAGATAGGTTGCCACGGCGAGCGGAAGCAAGTAGCGTGTGGAAAATGCCAGGTGTGAAAATCCTGACTGGGAGACTCGGTCATATAAGTCGCGTTAGGCTCTCTAGATGGGAACATCAGGATGACTGTAATCAAGGGTTGGAGTCACTGATTGTCGTAAACAGTGGCGTTCGGGCATCTTATTTTCTCTGCAGCATTAGCCCACTGAAATCCTCAATTTTCTCTTCAATTCTATTTTCAACCTTCATATTTTTCTCCCACCGTTCATCCAAATGGGCAACCAAAAAACAGCAAGCGAAACCTGCACACGAAAGTGCATGGTTAACAGTTGTTCAAACATATGAGTAAATAAATTAGTCACGTGAGTTATATAATACCGTATTATGATGTTACATCGTGTAAACGCCAAATTAACCTTCTTGCTAGAATTAATTAACGGAACGATTCTTACGTGTCGCACCGTGATACATTTCTACAAGCTATCCTAATGCATAAACTTGAAAGCAGAGCCCGTCACCTGCGCTTCAGCGGGAATTATGCGTTTTTATTTCACTGTTACTCATAATACTGTCCATTTAGCATGCAAAGGAAACCTCTCTACCTTAGGGAGGTTTTTGTGCTATCCACTGCATTACCAAATCTACGAATAATGCTGACAAGTCTGCTATTCTAATGTGTTGTACTCGTTTCGTCGAAAAATGAAACCTTTGGTTGTCCAACACTTTCATAAGTACAACTATTTTACTACGAGAACTCAATGAACTTATCTTAGTGAACAATTTTCTTCCCTCTATTTTCTGTTTTCAAATCTGCCACTCTGTCGTAACGTATGTAGCTCATGTTCCGTGATAATCTGATTCAAATCAGTCTGAATTGCTTTTCCCTTCAACCAAACTATTTCACTGCTCTATGTCGTAACAGCAGTACTGTTTCATTCCTCTCCGCATGAGATTCCCCATTACGTAATTGTGTAATTATTTCGCGTTGATTTAGCCAGTGTTGACGTGAACCTCACTCCGGACAAGCGGATGCTGCTGTTGCGCAACGAGAAACACGTTCTAGCTCTGACAAAGGCTGTCTTGCTACAGTCGTTGTACGAATCTACCGGCGTGGATTTGATCTCGTTAGCACGTCAACCATCCCCGCTGGACGTGACCACCATCCAGATTGTGGATCTGCCCGTCGATAGTCAAGTGCGTATCAGTTATTGTTTCTGTTCTATATTAACTTTAGAAATGTATCGTTTTTTAGCATACACATACACACACGGAAACTATACTTACATGCCAGAAGCTGTAACTATGCGTCACAGAAAGCACACAGGTGTGCGGGGGAATGCGGAAAAATGCTTGTGTATCGAGAACTGCCGTCAGAAAATCAATATCGGTCAGATAGTCTTCCGTTACCAACACGTTTCCCATATGTGAACAGCGATTAATTGAGTGCGTTTGCACGGCCTCTAATTAATCTGTTAAGCTGGCGGTAATCAACTAGATAGATTCTCTGTCAGTGGCACTCAGCAATTCGCAAAGTGTTAGGTTCTACCGCGATCATGATCACCAGTCGCAGGTCGTAAACAATCTAGTTATTATTTCTTCTTTGTAGCCCACTTATACCAATGTCATAGAGTCCGAAACTGCGTTCCTAAACAGAAGACTCAAAAATACGGGTTGCATTTTTAAGTTTCAGCCAATTAATCAACCATGGAAGTAAGTCAGCTTCGTGGTTGAAGAATCTTCGCAAAATATTACTGTTGTTGCCAGTTGTTGTGTTCGGTCTAGACGTATGAATGACTCGAGCAACTGGTGTTTAAACCCCAACGATAACGCGGAGAAAGAACACAGTCGGAGACAGTAGCCATCGTGTCCATTCTGATGCGTAAATATATAGAACGAATCACGCCTACGAGAATGGTGCAGTGACGCACCGGTCAGATTGTGTCCTTGACATATCAATTGATGGATCGCACAAACATTGACTGACTCGTTCTACGATTATCCAATCGGGCTCAGCCTGTCTAGAGCGTTGCGAGTGTGCGTTTAGCCAAACTCGGAGGC